AACCTTCTCAGCTTTATCTGGAATCTTTCCAGATTAATCTTTCCAGATTTGGCAAGACAGACTATCACTATGTTGCTCAGACTGATCTTAAAGTCTTGGGCTCAAGTGACTCCCCTGTCTCAGCCTCCTAAGTAGCTAGGGCTATCAGCATGAATCAGTGCTTCCACACAAAGTGACTATTATTTTTAGAGACAGCCAAGATGGGTGAAATGACTCCTTTATCTTCTTGATTCACGTATGTATACTAACAGCCTAAAATACATTTTAATTAATATACTGCAAATATATATATATATTTTCTTGAGTACCTACTTATTTAGAAGTTAATCTTTACCTGTGAAATCGGCCATCCTACACGATGTCACACTACAACATGGACAACCCACTGACGTGAGGAATACTTACAGAGAAACTTCTTCTTCTTCTCTAAGGGGAACTCATGGAAGGTTTCCCAAAAGAGTTTCACGGTGGGATGCGTGCCTGAATAATCACCCTTGTAGACGGCCGTCTGTCCAAAAGAGAAAAAAACAAACAAAAAACATGTATCTTAACAGAATCAGGACATTACAGTGCACACTGCTTTTGAGAAGGAAACCACTGGGAGGCAGGAGACCCCAGCAGATGCTCAGGGGCGGAACATCTGAAGGGATGGGGTCCCCAGCGTTCCTATTCGGCTGCTGCTCTCCAGAGCTTACCTCTTCCAGTTCTTCCCAGTTGTAGTTGCTGTTCCCCACCACCATGGCCCTCAGTTCCGCAGGCTGGAAGAGCTCCAGGACTTTGCCCCCACACACCTTTAGGAAGCCACTGGAAAAGGCTGTGTACCACTCGTGAACTGAGATTTGAAAGACGTAATTCACGTAAGCATCCACGAATTCTTGCCTGCAGGAAGAAACGGGATACACCATAGATTTGACAGAGTCTCACGGACTCTATAAAGTTGCCTTTCGATAAAAGCCAGAAACAGGAGCAGAGAAAAGCTGAGAAGGGGCAGCCCCGCCCTGGAGAGAGAAGGGCCCGGTTGAAGCTGCATGTGGGGTAAGCCAGAGGAACCTGGTGGTAAGAAACCAGCAGGCCTGGCTTCTCACGAGTCCTAAATCCAGTGTCGGGTTAGGTTAACAGTGACTTCTCTTATGTGACAGGAGGGGACACTCACTCCATCTCTCTCAACACCTCAGAGCCACAGCTAGACATCATCTTGACAGGGGGCCAGGGAACAATTCTGAGTGGGAGCTACCGCTGTGGAGGAATGGTGACTCATTCCCTTCGCAAGTCGAAATGAACAACTTGCCTGGGTCAGAGGGCTGCAAGTGCCTGAGGTCTTGCTTTCCACTCATAACACTGTTCCAGAAACAAAGAAGGCAATTTGCACACACGCTGGTGGGGTTTACATCACACGACGATGCTTGTCTGCACTGAGCATCCTGAGATTCTGTTTATTTTGAGAACTGCAGCAAGGGTCTTTTTGCTTGAGGATCACTGTGGAGACAGTGCTCTGTGGCCACAACCCGAGTCAGAACTTAGCTTAGCAGAACACTCACCCGTGTACTGCTAGACAGGGAAGAGCTGAGATGGACAGGCAGAGCCAGGCTCCCGCTAGCGCAGAACTCAGAGCTCTGTTTGTTTCCACCAGTCCCGCACTGGGGGCCACTTCTGGGCTTGGATGTCTTCCACTCCTGGAGGCCCAATGTTGAAGGCCTCTGGGTCAAGTGAGAACTTGCCTGGACTACTGTGGGGGTCTGGCAGAGCTCTCTAAAGTGACTGATTCTTAGCTAACTTGGCCCTCAGTGGCATACAATATTCAACTACACAGGGGGAACTGACAAGAAGCATCACTATTTTATTTTTTAAACTATATTTTCATATCATGCTAAATTGCATTCTTTACATGCTCTTGTTTTTCATTTCTTATTAAACAATTTATTACAATGACTTGTTAGCTAGATCTTTATAGTTTCATTGCATTGTAATCAGAGTTTATCTTTTGTTATTTCCTTTTCCTTGGTTTTTATTTCCTTTCCTTCTCTTTTACTTACCCTTGCTTCTTCCTCTTCTCCCTTCCTCCCTTCTTTATCTTATTCTTCACTGTTACTACTTTAACATTCACGACTGTTTAAACTTTGCGGTTTACTAGATGTTTATTTTTTCCTACGGTTCCTATTAGTATAGCTGTTGACTTTAGTTGGTTTGATTGCATTTGTCTATCTAATTTATATTGCTAGTATTCTTACAGCATTTTGTTTTACTCTCTCTGGGTGGTACTGGTGGCAGAGCCCTCAAAAGAAGGCTGGCCCACAGAAGACCCTATCATAAAACCGGGAAAGGTACCATCCTGGCACGCTCATAACCGGTACCCGGAAACACGCAGAGGTCAAAGAGGCAAAGCAGCACACCTTGTCCAAAGTTAGCGATCGTACGCAAATCTGAAGATTCTGAGATGGCCAAAGTGCCCAGTAAGTCAAAAGTCTAGGGTTCTGTTTTGCTTTGGTTTTAAAATGATCAGTGCCTTCAAAGACCATTCAAATAAACAGATGAGTGAAGAAAAGATGTCAACTGAAGACCTAGATTAGAAACTCAACAACCTGAGAGGGAATGTTCAGTACAGAAGTACAGAATCTGTGGCGGGGGAAACAAAGGAAAAGAGAAGAGAGGGGAAAAGGAGAGGAGGGCGTTGAGAATATGAGGATGCGAATGAATGTAAGAATAAATGGGAATAAATAGATACATTTAAATTCATCACTAAATTAAACAAAAACCTCAATGGATAGCATCACCAATATACTATAGCAGGCAGAACACAGCTATCAGGATAGACAACACACTATTTCAGAGAGCAATCACCGCTACACTATGTAGAGACCTCTGGCGCACAACTAAGAGATTAAAAACTACAAATCTGTGATGCACTAGAAGGAGCTGAAATGCAGAATGAATTACTGAATCATTTCCCCCCCCCCCACAATTCTCCAAATCTAGGGAAATAGAAATAGAAATCCAAGTACAGTATTTCCAAACCACAAAGCAGACAAGCCCTTTATGCTATATTATGGCATAACTGTCATAGCAAAGGACAGAAAAAGAATACTGAAATCTCAACAATGTGTGAAGACAAACTTATCAAAACAACACCCTCAGATAAGGACTCTGAGACCAGGGGAAAAATGAACCAACTATCCAACCCCTGAAACGAAGTAACTGCCTACTATTACTGTCTCAAGCAAGGTGATCCTTTGTACTAGAAGGAGGATTAAGGGCTTTTCTGGACAACCACTAAAACCAGCATTGCAGAAGACACTTAAAGGAACACTTTACACAACCCGGAGGAATGGTACCCACAGGTTTAAGAGTTCAGCAAGGAATTCAACATTATTACGTCAGTAAACCAGCAAACCTCTAAGATGAAGAAAGGAGATGTTATTACACACTTTACAACATTAATCATGAGTGTAAATGGTCTTAACTTGTCAATTAAAAGACAAAATAGATTAAAAACATTAACCCATTTTCTTATCAGCATAAACAGACTGGACGTTAAAGGATGGAAAATAATACTGCAGGTGAAAAATCTGAAAGCAAGTAGAAGTAGATATACTTACATCAAGCTCATCATACCTGTGAAAATTAGTCAGAAGCGACAAATAAGTTAACTCTATATCAATAAAGAGAACATTCCTTCACCAAGAGATAACAATTAAAAGTACATGTGTGCTAAACAAAAACTAAACAGTACTGAATGCAAAGGGACCCAGAGGTTCAGATATAATGAGAGTGGATGAATGTGGCACTCATTCTCACCAATACATAGGTCATCCAAACCAGAAACATGAGCCAAGAAACATCGGAGGTAAACCGTACCACAGAACACGTGAACTGAACATGAGCGCCCAAAGAACACTCCACCCAACAGCTAGGGAATAAACCTTCTTCTTAGCAGCCCACAGAACTTTTTCTAAAACAGAATAGGCCACAATGCAAATCAACAAATACAAAAGAAATCCGAATTTTTTCTTTATCTCATCAGATAATCAACAGTCAGGAAAACTCTAAAAATTAAGTTAGTGCATGGAGACTGAGCAATACACTTTGATGACCAATGTGTTACATAAATCAGAGAAAAAAATCAATAAATTAACAGATTCAAAGGAAAACCAAAATACAACTTACCACAACCTTAGGGACACAGCAAAACTAGTTCTAATAAGGAACTTTAGAGCCATGAGTGCCTACATTGAACTTCAGAGATTTCGCTGGGCAGTGGTGGCACACGCCTTTAATCCCAGCACTCAGGGAGGCAGAGGCAGGTGCATCTCTGAGTTCGAGGCCAACTTGGTCTACATAGTGAGTTCCAGGACAGCCAGAGCTATTATACAGAGAACCCCTGCCTTGAAAAAATAAACCAAACCTAACAAAAACAAACAAACAAACAAACACAAAACAAAACAAATAACTTCAGAGATCTCAAATAAATAACCTAACATTTTGGAACAAAACAAATATAAAGTTAGCAGATGAAAAAAGAAAAGTAAAAATTAAGACAGAAATCAATGAAATGACAACTGAAAACAGCAGAAAAGATTCTGATGTGTTTGTGTGTGTAACAGGACTATAGCCAACTTTATGTGGAATGGGGTAAAAGTGAAAGTATTTATGCTATATAATCAGGCATGAAACAAGGGTGTCTACACTCCCCACCTTTATTCAATATAGTTTGAAATCATAGCCAGAGCAAAAGGCGAGGAGAGAAATAAAAGGATATAAATAGGAAAGGACAAAGTATCTCTATTTTCAGACAATGTGATGCTATCCTTAAAATGTCATAGACTCTGCTACAAAGCTCAGATCTGATAAATACTTTCATCAAAGTAGCAATATACAAAATTAATGTAAAAAGTCAGAGACTTTTCTATATACCAATAACAGACATATTGAAAAATAAATCCAACGGAAATGAAATTGTCAAAGAAAGGCTTGCATTGCCATATTGACTTTTTTTTTGGGTATTACCCAAAAAAGCCCAGTTATAGACCCAACCTTTGCCTGTAATTACTTTCCTTTCTTTTGGCGGTGATAAAATTCCCTGACAAAAGCAACTTATGGGTAAAAGGGCTTATTTGGCTCACAATTCCACATGCTTTATGGCATGGAAACCAAGGCAGCAGGGACGTGAGAGAACCGGGCACATTACATCTGCAGTCAAGAGCAGAAAGCAATGAACTAATGCATGCTAGCGCTCACTTTGTCCTCTCCGCTTTATACAGCTCAGGATCCAACACCCAAGGTTGGTCCTGCCTTCAATTACTGTGGGTCTTTCCACATCAATTAGGGTAGTCAAGACAATCCCACAGGACAATATCAGAGACTAACCTTAGTCTAGAGAATCAATCACAAGTCTACCTCCCATCTAGGCACCCAGTTGACACTAACCACCACAGTGTTCACCAGCAGATAGATAATAAAGTGATACACACACACACACACACACACACACACACACACTATTACTCAGTCATAAAGGCTAAATTATATCATTTGCTGGAAGATGGATGGAGTCTGAAATCATGTTAAATAAAAATGTCAAACTCAGGAAGGTACACACTGCATGTTTTTTCCCATCTGAGTAATGTAATCTAGATTTTAAAATAAAATATAATTTGAGTTTTACATCAAAAAAAGAATACAAAAAAAAAAGACATGAGAGCAGAAAAAGTACGACTTAGTGGGTAGAGAAAGTGATGGGGTACTAAATATCATCAGAATTCATCATACACAAGCCTGAAAATGTTACCAAGAAATCCACTAGTTAAAACATACAATACAGAAATCAAGCCCCCGGGCTTCTGAAAGAGCTGTCAGTGCTGTTGATCACTGAAGTGTGTCTCTAGCCTGTACCATGATTTCTTGCTTACCACTGACTTGGAATCACTCCCATCCAGCGAATCCATAAACAACACTAAGCATCAACAGCAGCTCCTCATACCTGACCTGAAGTCAGTCAAACTTGGACAATGACAAGACAAACTTCCTCTAAACAGGCAGCCTAGAAACTCACGTGAGAGACACACCTACGAAAGACATCTACATGTCCAGGTCTCATAGCAACAGCACAAATATGGACAGCCAAGTCAGAAAATCTCCCCACAATTCCACCGGTCCTATAAAAACATTCTCAAAAATGTCTAGATGAACCTCAGGACACAGAATATAAAAGAACAATCATAAAATAATTCATGAAATAATTCAAAGAGAGAGAGAGAGAGGGAAACAGAGTGACCCACACAGAAGGGGAGGGAGGAGGAGAGGGGAGGTGCCCAAGCTAACTGGGAATGCTGTGGGCGGCAAAACATATGCCCAGTGACATACCTCCTCCTCATAATTGTAATTTTGTTATTGTTATGAATCGTAATACAAATTTTCTGGAGAGAACTTCTGCTCTAGGGGATCAGAACTGATAGACTGAATGAATATCTATCAAAGGGGGATTTACTCACAGGCTGTGATCCCACTAATCAAACAATGGCTATTTCCAAATGGAAAGAACAAGAGTTGTCCAGTCTGCAGTCCTAACCTGGTGCTGGAGCCCTAGAGAGCCACTGATCATCAGTCTACACTGGAATCCTGAAGCAGTTGATGGTTCTAACACCATCAACACAATGCCTCTGAAGCAGGGCAGATGAACGTGCCAGAGAGAGTGAGCGCAAGCTGGCCAAAAGCAAAACACATCACATTCTTCTGTGGCCTTTTACGTGGGCTGGCATCAGATTAAGAGTGTGTTATCTCACCTCAAATGATCATATCAAGAAAAAAACCCTCACAGAAGTACCCAGCTGCATGGACGATCATGGATACCAGATGTTGTCACACTGGTATTCAGAATTAGTCAGCATAACAGCCAGGTTAAACTGAAGTCATCAGGGTGAGCCATACATAGAATAGAACCTTAGAGGAGGGACAGATCTGTATCTCTAACGCATGGGAAAGATGCTATGAGGAGATGGGAAGGCATCCAGCACAAGCCAAAAGAGAGGCCTAGAACCTCTCTTTCCCTCACAGCCCTCAAAAGGAACAAACCCTGCCGAGACCTGTGTGGACTTTGCCTCTTTAACTATTAAGCAACCAACTGCTATTGTTTAAACTGCCTGGCCTCTTAGAATTCACTACAGCATTTTAGCAAACTAACATATACGCTCAAATCCTTATATGCCAATTGTAATAGCATCATGATCAACACTTTTAAAATAACTATCCTCGAATTGTTTCAGGGTACTTACTAATGACCAATCCCTGTAAGAAGTTCCAGTATATACATTAATTAATGAAAACGTTGAGTAAATTATATAATATGGAATTACATGTCAATAAAAATAAACACACAAAACCCTTTGAAAGTTGACATAATTATTTTGAATTAAAAACTGAGACTAAGAGGAACAATTAACACATGGGTAAAGGCAGGAATTGAAAGCAGGCCCTAGCATGTACTAGAGAACATAACCATTCCACCTAGCCCCTTACCTCCATTTGCCCCCTCCCCCACAGCTCACCCCCACCTTCTTTCCATTTCCTGTATGAAGCTGCATGAGAGGTCAGAGTTCAACACACACCACCTCATCTATACTGTTCCTCACTATGCGTTACTGTAGCCCTGACTGTGTACCAGAGTGGATAAAGCCCACCAAATGACACATGTTTATACAAGTGCTGTATGTATTGCAAACACTTTTTGGAAATCTTAATCTAAATCATATTCAGGGTCATTTTAAAAGCACATCAACCTGATTCTGAAGTTTATATAAAAGGCAAAGGAACTAAAAACAGCCAAACAATTCTGAAAAAGGAACCAGGTTAAAGGGCTCATTACCTGAACCCATGGATCTATTATCAAGCTATGATTATGAAGTCTAGTGTTGATGAAAAGTCAGACATGCAAATGAACACAACAGAAGAAAAAGGCAGAAACAGCCACATGTATAAATGCAACTGATTTCCAACCAATCTACTAAGGCAATGTGGCAGAAAAGTAGTATTGTCCTCAAAGTCAACAAATGGTACTGAATCAGCAGGACACTGTAGGCAAAATAAGTGAATAAATAACCTTAGACCTACATAAAAGTTAATTCAGTATGGGCCACAGCCTAAAATAGAAGTTTAAACTATCATATTCATAGAAGAGAACGCAGGGACAAAGGTTTTATGACCTTAGAATTGGAAAGACTTCATGGGCATTATGCCGAAAGCTCAATCCACAAAAGAAAATTTTACAAAATGAACTCAGCCCCAAATTTTAATGTCTATTGCTAATCATTTTAAGTCTTCTGATTTCTATTATAAAACTAAAGAGTAGGAATCAAAACTTTTAATATATTTCACAAAGAACTCACATCCAAAATACATTAAAAAAAACCCTTAAAACTCAGTTTAAAAATTAGAAAATAAGTAACAGAAGATGAAAGAATGGTAAACGCGCAGAGCGGGACATACTCAGAATCATTCAGCACTAGGGGTGCTAGGGGTACTGTCATCCCAGTACTTAGAGGCTGAAGCTAGTGAGCTCAAGGTCTGGCCTACATATTTAAGACTCTACCTCAAAGCAGAACGTGTACAACGCTGTAACTTTCATCCATCACCAATGTGAAAGCAAATGAGCACAGCCGTGTGGAAGGAGCGTGGCGGCTATTTATGAAGTTAAATATACCAAATAATCCAGTGATCCCACTGGTAGGCATTTATATAAAATAAAGATGTGTTCATACAGAAATCTATAGACATGTACACAGTGGTATTATTCATATCTTTTAAAGCTGGAAATAACACTATTGGAAACATTTCTCAACAATATAATGGAACAAATTAGTAATATACATGACAGTACAGATGAATATCAAATGCTTTTGCGTCTGAAAATGACAGATTCCGAAAGGCTACATGTGATTTCATTCATGACAACTTAAGAAATACAGAATTATTAAGACAGTAAACAGAGCAATGTATCATGTGCACTGTAGGAGAAGGGCCTTAGGGTACTTTAGGGTACTGAAGTTACTATATCATGGTGTTTACATGAAAGCATTTGCTTGTGAAAGCACTCCCCAAATGCTGAATTTTATCAATAGTCTAGTCTAAGTTTTAGGATCTTTTGAGTGAAAAAGAAAAAGTCTTAAAGGATGGCTCAGCAGCTAACTCAGTGGCTCCTAAGCCTGACCATCTCAGTAGATCCCCAGAAAATACATGGTGCAAGAATAGGACTAACACACATTCCCACCACAGAAAACATAACTACTCCACAACACATAAACACATAAATGCAATTTAAAGAAAGAAAACGGGAGAGGGAAGTAAATCAAACTAAAAGACTCACGCGTACATTAAAATACATTTTGTAAGCATTTACTTTCTTTGATCAGAGGCACAAGAATGTTTGCTCTTAAAAGACATTATGCATAATTTTCTTTTGCATATTAATGCAGTAATTTTATAAAAATTATTCCGTGCTTACTATGTACCAGCATTAAATGATTTACACATAATTAATTTAATGAACGTAAAGAACCAAAAGATAGAAATTCCTTTCAGAATTCATAAGCATAACTCTGGCAAGACCCAACATAGAGAAAGAAAAACCTAAATCGGTAACAAACTCATCCTCTAGAAACCATTTAAGATTTGTGCCCTGCCCTTGATTCAAGCTCTAAGGAGACAGGAAGGACCCAGGGTTCAAGGGCACTGTAATCAGGGTGTTAGAAGCTAGCCTAGGTTGGCTAAATAAAAAAAATAATCCTCCAATTCTGGCTTGTATGGGTGAGAAATTAAAGTGCCCAATCATTTCATGATCAGAAAAACAGCATTTGATATTTCTGGTCTTTTCCAAAGCTCTCACATGCAAATTACAAGCAGATCCAAAGAGCAGATGGTTAACTGTGAAGTGTTTGGTGGCAAACGGTTGCGTGTGCATCTGTAGGTCCGGAAGAAAGAGAAGGACCAAACATATGCTTTTCAAGATGAATGAAAAGAAATCTCTATTCCCCGGCCCTTACGGGCTTGCCTAACCTGCCACCCAGAGGCTGCAAGCTTCCCAAGATAATGACGAATCGGGCCCCTACACGTGTGGATGAAATGGCGTCTTCTCATAGTCACAAGGTTGGACACTCACAAGGGTTTTGCTTTTCTTCTCTTCACCCTCTCTCTTCATTCCTTTTCATAGGCACCTGTGTGAAGTCTTCGGTAACACTACCAGGATGCTTACGGCGCTGAGATTTCCTACACAAGCACTTCTAGAACTAATTCCAAAGTCCCTACTGTGACAATTTGCAACCAGGATATATGAAACGAGGTTCAAGAGGGCCGGCTGGCTGGGGGCTCTAGGAGTCCAAGATGGCCTACGCAGATACACGCAGATACGCAGGTCTGCAAAGGAGTGGGAGGAAAATGGTTCTCCCGCATTTCTGTTCTCTGAAAGTAAATCTAAGACGCAATCAAGATTCAGAAAAGAAGGTACCCATAACTAAGGCTGACCAGCATCAGCTATGGCGCACTTCCGACAGGGGTTCACAGGTGCTTTGCGGATTCAAAGGGCTGAGATGGGAGAGGGGGGGCACACAGGAAACAGGCTGGGGCTGTACAAACAGGTATGGAAAAATACAGGCTCAGCCTCGAGCTGGTTCCAGCCAGCCCTGCAGGGGTGGGAGCGGAAGTTGGGGGCTGGGTATCTAAGTGGTTTTGAAGACTTCGGAGATAGCGGCATAGCAACAATCTGGTGCAGTTTGTGCGCACAACCATCAGCTGATAGCGAGCAGCCATTCACCACAGCCGTCAGCGTTTGCTGCATCCTTAGACTTGCTCTGGACCAGCCGCAGTCACAGCTGCAGGACCTCTCTGGACCAGCTCGGTCGCAGACTGCGCAATCACCAGACCACTGCAGCAAACCAGCCCAGCCGAGCCTAACGCTAGCCATGGCCGACCCCGAGAAGCAGGGACCCGCTGAGAGCCGCACCGAAGACGAGGTGATGGAGGGCGCCCAGGGTGGCGAGGATGCAGCAACCGGCGACAGTGCCGCTGCGCCCGCGGCCGAGGAGCCTCAGGCTCCCGCGGAGAATGCGCCCAAGCCCAAGAACGAGTTTATCGAGAGCCTGCCCAATTCCGTCAAGTGCCGGGTCCTGGCGCTCAAAAAGCTGCAGAAGCGCTGCGATAAGATCGAGGCTAAATTTGACAAGGAGTTCCAGGCTCTGGAGAAGAAGTACAACGACATCTATAAGCCCCTGCTTGCCAAGATCCAGGAGCTCACCGGAGAGATGGAGGGCTGCGCGTGGACCCTGGAGGAAGATGATGACGACGACGAGGAAGAAGAGGACGAAGAGGAGGAAGACGAAGAAGAGGCGGCAGCTGGTGCAACTGGGGGTCCCAACACCGGCAAGAAATGAACACAGCGGCTGGCAGGTGATAAATCCCCTGCCCCTTTTATTTCCGATGTCGGCAGACTTTAAAAGGCTCAGGTTTTGCCCAAAATACATGTGAATCTATTCTGACATTCCTAAATTTAAATTGAATCAAGTAGATTTTGGCTAGCCCGTTTCTAATCTGACTTTTATTTGTGTAAAACAGATGCCAAAAGACGTTTTTAAGAGAAGGCTAATTAAGCTTATTTTTTCCCCCTTCCCCGCTCTTCTGTGAGAACTGGACTTGAGACTGATGAGAGACGGTCAGTTAAATGTATAGTGCGTCACACGTTGAAATCCATTCATCACACTGCACCTGGACACCCAGGCTAAGACCGAACTCTTCCCCATGCTTAATTTCTTCAGTTTCTTTACATTTCTCAGAGCCGAGGAGAAGGAACCCAAGGAAGACGTGATCTTTAAGCCTTTTGCGTTTGCAAACCCAGACATCAGCTTTACACTCTTGAGGAGACGTGGCTTGGAGGAAGCCTGCACAGAGTGACTCTACTGGCTAGGGAAACTGGAGTTTAAAGTTATGGAAAATGTTTTGAATATCTGAATTTAAGAAAGAACATGGTTGCAAGACAGAGGGTGTATTACATGTATAATATTGTCGACACGTGCTCACTTGTGGTCTCATGTTTTCGGTTCTCTTGGTAGTGTTTGTTTATGAAATCGTAAAAATTACCCCAAAATGTTTTAAGTAGTAAACCACCTTATAGCATTTTAGAAATATAATTTACTTGAAGAGATGTAGAATGTAGCAATTCCGTAAAGCATGTGTATCCAGTGTTGCGTAGTTTGACCTTTGTGAAGTCTTTTTGTCTTGTAGCTTTTAGCAAGTAGCTGTGAAAACCATCAGAAACACTCAATGAAGCTAATGTCTGGAAAAAATATATACTTGAAGAATCAATCCAAGTGTGTATCCCCACCCCCAGCTCAGAAATAGAAAGGGTTTAAGTTTGCTTGTATTAGCTGTGCCTTCATTATTTTGCTATGTAAATGTGACTTATTAAAAGGTGCATAATCATTTTTATTGCTTAATTAAGGAAGAAGGACATATAGGAAGGACTTCTGGGGAAGGACATTTAATGTAATGGCCTTGAGCTTCTTTGTGGGTTTTGAATTATCTGTGAATCAATGTTCTGTAAGAGTCCAAACTAAAGTTGTTTACCACTGTGGTGTTAACAAAGCAGTATTTTCAAAAATAAAAAGACTTGTTGTTCTGACTGCCTGTGTTCTCATCTATAAAAGTGGGTGGTAATGGTCCCTTCCTCACAGGTATTATGAAAAGGAGTTATTCTATATACAGCACATAACAGCAGTATCTGACACCCAAGAGTAATTTCCAGCTATTATTATTATAATAAAGACAAAAGACCCTGATAGAAAATCCCACTCTCTTCCTCTCCTGCTACGCAACAGAAAACGGTAGCTTTATTAATCCCCTACCTTGGTGATTCCTTATTATCAATAAAAAATATGTTTTTTAATTCAGAAATACAGGACATTCAAAAACTACCCTGTTTTGGTTTCCTTCACATAAAATCTGGTTTTAATTTCCTCTCATAAAAGGTAAGACTTTAATAACGCATTATGAATTCACCCCACCCCCACACATCAGATGCCATTCTCTTCCGTTTGCTCAAGGGTTAATCATACTGCCGCAAAATTACGTTGGAAATGGAGGGTGATATTAACCTGTTGCTAATGACAACAGTTGACTACGATCAACTCTAAGGTTGTGGCAACTTCCTACGGCGTGATCAACCCAAATGAAGGAGGATGTTACATACATTATGATCATAATTGTATGATTATTTTAATTAAAAAGGTAATTAAACTCAACAAGTTCAGAAATGGAGGGACTGCCATTTAATATTTCTTCAGGTCTAGTAAAAATTAAAAAAAAACGAAATAAAAAAGTGTCTAATCACTGGGAAATTTATTTTAAAGGTATATGATTAGTTATATAAAAAAAACAAGAGATGGAATGGAAAATCATTAGATACAAGTTTGATAAATTGATTGGTTGTCAGATATATTAAATCAATAATTAATTCAAGGCATTAAAATATATAAGATTTCTTACACTAGAAATAATATATATACATAAACATAAGCTAGCTTAAAATTTAAAAAATGTGTATAATATATGTTAAATGGGGGGATTTCACAAAAATAAGCTTCTGACTTAGAAATGATCACAAAAACATTAATTCTTCTAAAATTAACTTATAATTTATCAAAATTCAATTCAAAGCCCAAGTGGGATTTGGAACTTAATACAATTTCTATATTGTTCACCTATAAGAAAAGCTGAGGCTACCTTCAATAATTTAGAAGCAAATCAGACTTTAATAGATTCAAGGAAACATTTTTAATGAGAAAATACACAAAATATTTATCAATTACTAGGTACAGAAAGGCTAAGATTAAGATGCACACAGCCAAAATAAATAAACAAACACAACAAGAAAAAAATTAGAAAACAATCAAGTTTTGAGTCTGTAACTCATTCCAAAGGCAGTCAAGAATTGTGAGTTTTATCTACAGCAGATACACGCAGCCAAAGGTTAATGGTCTTACTAGTTTGACAAATCATAGGAAAATTAGTACTTTTCAGAGATAATTAGCACTTTTAGAAATAGACATAAAGAACCTGAGCTGACTACTTTAAAAGGAAGAAGTACTAGGGAGGAAGATGTGCTTCTGTGCCCAGCACTAGGTAAAGCGGGGCTCTAACAAGCCCGGAGACGTACATGCTCCAGCTGCGTACTCAGGCCATCAGGCATTATTTTGTATTACATATATGCCTAGCAATTTTTTTCTGGCTAGTCATAGCACCAGACCACTGCTGGCTCCTCTTTTAAAGAACTCAGAGACGTTTGGGATGGATGTCAATTTCATCTCCTCACTGAGCTGGTCCCAGACATGTGTCTCCTGAGCTGCCTGTTTGATAGTGCGTCACAGCTGCACTGTAATGTCGGCAGGACACCATCTTCCCGGGCAGGGAAAATACTGCTTTGCAGTAAACCGCGTTAACCCCTGAGAGGCCAAACTCGGCAAAGCACAAAGTAACCAGCAGCACTCATTGTACATTCAGTGCCTGCTCTCAAGAGTGTGACGCAGAAATCTGCAGCACTTCAAGGCTCACAGTGTATGCTCGGTGCTGCAGCTCTGCCCATGTGAAGGTCCACATACATGCACACACAGGCACTTCTTCACTGCACATACATGTAAACAAATGTCTTTATTCAGCTGGAACTTACATAAAACAAGACATTTTAATAGCAGCAATTTCAGATATTCACAATACTGTGCAAATACTGCCTCAAAATCGTATTTGCAAAGGTATTTTAGAAGTTCCCACAGCATTAAGATGGATCGGTGCTGTGGAGAATCTTTAAAATACCCTATATATGAAAGAAATGCAAGTAACTGAGTGAGACTGTGAGGACTAAGTGACAAAGGCATTCTTCTACACAAACAAAGATGAATGACCTAGTACAATTCGTTAATAAAATCAACCCAGCCAAATTAGCTGTTAACAGATTCAAAATGCCAGACTTTACATTTTTATTCTTGGAATTTTGTCACTAAAAAGCAACTGTAAAGGCAAGAAACAATCCCTTTTTATACAAAATGTATTTGAGACGCTTTTAACAAAAGAGAGGGGGGCTGAAAGAATACAGAAAGGATGATATAAAAGAACATACAAGCAAACCAAATCCCCAAAGAGAACACACATTTACACAGCAGACTACACAGTATTACAGGTATCCATGAGGGGTTTGTTGTATTTTTTGCTTGTTTGCTTGTTTCTTTTTTCCAGACAGGGCCTCAGTATGTAGCTCTGGCCTACCTTGGATCTCACTACACAGGCTGGCCTCAAACTCAGAGATCTCCTTGATTCTACCCCCAGGGTCCTGTGATCAAAGACTGAGCCACTACACTCTACTCATGAAGCCTTGATGTATTCCCTGGTTCAAAATCCAGACACAATTCTACACATTTACAGCATGCTCTTAACTATGCTAGCTTTTTTTTTTTTTTTTTTTTTTTTTTTTAGAAAATTATACAGTCTGCCTGAACGGAGAAGCAGTAAACTCTCAGACCCTCGTTTCCCCTGGGGAACAAGACAGGAACCCTCAAGCTCCGCTGCAGGCTCTCAGAGGCAGGGTGCATATCAATCAATCAATCAATCAATCAAGTCCTTTTCTTCTAGCTGCATAGCTGGGCCAAATAATATAATTCTCTGGGTTTCAACTTCATCACCTGCAAAGTGGTAAGGTTTGCATGTTAAGTCCTCAGGACAGTGCCTGACACACGGTAAATACTCCGGGAGCGAGGCAACTGTTTGCTTCATCATTTTGTCCCTGTAACAATCCAGTGCAAGTAAAATGCGCACCTTGAAGACTGCACCCCTCACCAGTGTTTGTGAGGGGTCAACAGAAGTGATTTAGAGCTACAGCTCCATTCTTGAGTTCTCTCTATGGATTTTGAACAAAACTGGAAGTTAACTGCATCAATTTAAGGTCATTTTTACATCAGTGGTAATAACATGCTATGGAATATAAAAAGTCCTCAATTCCAAGGAGGGAAGCAGAGCAGCGCAAGCCAGATCTGACCACTACTATAGAGAGACCTGGTTGCATTTCTTGTCCTTGAATGCAGGAAACGTATCCAAATGGGATTTGCAATCACGACAGCAAATACCCAAAGTTTCAATCCCAACACAAAAAGAAAATCAACGATAACCTGTAATTCTTTGACCAACCCTGTCCCATAATAGGTCACAGGAACTCCATTTCAAAGGAGTTCTGCCCTTTACTATGGAGCAGTGAAGTCTAATGACCCGTTCACAGGGGGCTCCTAAGACCATTGAAAACATAGATATTTACATTACAATTCATAACAGTGGTAAAATAAGTTATGAAGTAGCAATGAACATAATTTGCGGTTGGGAGTCACCACAACACGAGGGTTGCAGCATTAGGGTAGCTGAGAATCACTGCTTGAGAGAAAGAAATTCTACAGAATCCAGGAAAAACCTGAACAAGCAGCAATTGGGTTTCCCCACTCAGTACGCTAGCATAAGACTGTACACTCTTATCCAGTTGGCGAGGTGTCCATGCCTATAAAATGAACACTCAATTAAACCCCAAAGGTTTAATAAGGTTTGGATAGCTCCTGGACAATCGAACATGTGGGAGTTCCTAGAAAGAGATGCATCCCAAGGGGCACAGGCTTCTTCCATACCTGACCTCTCCCACACCTCATCTGAGGCACTCCCTCATGTGCACCCTGTGGAATGTCTTCTACAATGAATTAGTACAGGTAACGATGTTTGCCTGAAATCTGTGAGCCAACCAAGCAAAAACAACCTGAGGCTCACAACTGGCACCAGACAGGGGCTAGGGGAGTCTTGAAACTCAAGTCCTCAGCCTGTGGGATATATTTGTACTGCCCGTGAAACAGGGCAGCTGTGACGCACTATCAAACAGGCAGCTCAGGAGACACACGTCTGGGACCAGCTCAGTGAGGAGATGAAATTGACATCCATCCCAAACGTCTCTGAGTTCTTTAAAAGAGGAGCCAGCAGTGGTCTGGTGCTATGACTAGCCAGAAAAAATTGCTAGGCATATATGTAATACAAAATAATGCCTGATGGCCAGAGTACGCAGCTGGAGCATGTAGTCTCCAGGCTTGTTAGAGCCCCGCTTCACCTAGTGCTGGGCACAGAAGCACATCTTCCTCCCTAGTACTTCTTCCTTTTAAAGTAGTCAGCTCAGGTTCTTTATGTCTATTTCTAAAAGTGCTAATTATCTCTGAAAAGTACTAATTTTCCTATGATTTGTCAAACTAGTAAGACCATTAACCTTTGGCTGCGTGTATCTGCTGTAGATAAAACTCACAATTCTTGACTGCCTTTGGAATGAGTTACAGACTCAAAACTTGATTGTTTTCTAATTTTTTTCTTGTTGTGTTTGTTTATTTATTTTGGCTGTGTGCGTCCTAATCTTAGCCTTTCTGTACCTAGTAATTGATAAATATTTTGTGTATTTTCTCATTAAAAATGTTTCCTTGAATCTATTAAAGTCTGATTTGCTTCTAAATTATTGAAGGTAGCCTCAGTTTTTCTTATAGGTGAACAATATAGAAATTGTATTAAGTTCCAAATCCCACTTGGGCTTTGAATTGAATTTTGATAAATTATAAGCCTATATTGCAAAACTGCCTGCCCTGAGCTGGATCGCTTTTCCCTTTCAAGTGCACCAAACATACAGGGCACTCTGAAGACTCACTGGAGCACAAGGTATTTCAACGCACCTTTCCAGGCTTCCTGTGTACTGCAGTGCTAATTCACACACACACACACACACACACACACACACACACACACAATTTTCTTGTCTGAAACCAAGTTAATACAAAAGTTAAGACATCTTCAGAAAAACTAAAGACTTTCTAGCCATGCATCTTGGGGATGCCTTGACGGAACACACTCATACATTCTTTCATCGCGTGTGAGCTTCACAGTATGTCCTTACACAGACTGGGACAAACACACACCTGACGACTGAGGTGGCTGCCAGTGTGACAAAGAATGAGAATTCCCAGACAGAAGCTCTGTCTACAAAATCTCACTCCCTGATTTGAAGAGCAGTGATGTGGAGAGGTTAGAATATTTTATGTCCAGAGCCTGACTACACCGTATCTTGGGCTAGACTTAACCCCTTATGCCATTCTGTGGTTAACAGAATGTTGGGCCTACCATTCTGTGATTAACTGATAAAATCCTTTGGAATAGATTAACTTAGCAGGCAGCATCTTGCTGCAACCTGCCTCTGAGGTTTCCACCAACGTATTTTTAAA